TCCTCAGGTTGGCAAATGTACATTTTTAATTTTCATGTTTTGCAAAATAATAATTTGCTTTTCTTAATTTCTTTAAAAATTGTCAGTTTCTTTTCTTGATCTACAACCCAAATATATTTGGCTTGAAATTTGTTTAGTGACCAGCATCGGTTTAATGACAGTTTTTACAGTTTCCCTGTCATTTTTAGCTAATAATAGTAGGCTACTTCCCTTGAAGAGCTGAGACATATTCATATTTTGCAAATGGACAAAAATTGAAAACAAAGTATTGTACTCCAAATTTGAAAAAAAAAAATCAAAGACCTACTTTAAAATAAATTTATTTAAACCACAATTGTTTAAATTGTGTAATTATGTTGTTTTCAATATTTTATCTTTATCAATGATTTTAAATATGGTAACTGACTTTTTAAAGTTGGTAGCCAAGATAGTAAAAATGCACCCAAAGATAATCTTTAATTTACAAGATTCCTATTTTGGCAACAAAAAAGAGTTGACACACTTACTACTAATGTTATTTCAATCAGATTCTGTCTACTAAAAATTCTACTCCTGGCATTGATCGTTAATCTGTTAATCTCATGTATCCTGTGTAGTGGAATACACAGCTACAACTCATGGGGTGTTTGTGCTTGGGTGGAACAATCTGTGGAGAATGATTCTTGTGTGAGCAGACTGTTTGTGGTCCCCCCTCCACCCCATTATTTATTTCAGTGCTTTTATTGATATTTGCAAGTGTTGACTTCTTGTTGGGAAAGCTATAAATAGAAATGGAATCATTTCTAGGGCTATCCACAACATTAATAGATCCTTTGATGCATATGTTTCAAAGATAACCTGTACAAAAATGTTATTTCTTGCTAATACATGTAGATGCATTGTTTTGAAATATATATTAATTTTTTATTTTGCATTCTTAAAATATTTATTTTTAAGTTAAGAAAAAGAAACTAAACATATATTTAAGTTTGTAAAGAGTGTTATTTGTGGATTTGATGTTTGACACATGGAAAGTGTTCTGATCGAGTGTTGAAATAATATGATCATGTCATAAATCTCTATAAAAATTGTTACAAAATTATCTCAACATTTATCATTTATGAGCATGAAAATCAGGTACTGAAATCACCTAATTAAAATGATTCAGTAATCTGGTGAATTAATAGTAAATACAGCACTCCTTGGCTATGGAACAGAATAGTATTACAATCTTCACTGCCAGTTTTCTTACAAAATTAGAAAGGGTCATGTTAATTTAGAACCAGCAAGTTTATTTATTTATTTATTTTTTAAAGCCGTTTATTAATGCTCTGGTGCTTTTTTCCTATTTATGCATTTTGCATTATAATTATAGTTTTCTTAAAAAGATAATACAAATAATTGAGTTTCAAGTTTTTCATTGCACTCAAATATAAAAATATACCTCACCTTTTTTAGCATGTGCAGATGTTGAAAACAACAAAAAAATAAAGCGTTAATATTATTAAGATACAAGATAATAATAAAAAATTATAAAGTGATCGTTCATGTAACCATGTTCAAACTTTTAACTCCCAAATCTCATTTCAGTAGCTTGTTTGGGAATATGCAACAAAAAAAAAAGTACTTTCCAGTTTTTCTTTGTTTTCAAGGCAACAACAGTCTTTTCTCTCATCCCCTTTTGCTACTTCTATCAGTGTTACCTCCCTTATCAATAACTATTTTCAACCATCATTTATGCTCATTTGGGGGAAAAAAAATCAATACTTGTAATTAAATTAAATATGTTAATTTAATCATTCAAGTGCATGATCAGTGTTATTCACAAGAATATTTTTAAAAGGTTTCAAATTACCTGTACAAAAATAACTGTATTTATTTTGTGAACAATTCACAATTGAATTTTTGTTAGTTGTTGAAAAATTGGCCCAGTAAAATTTTATTTTGAAATCATCAGTTCTTAAATACTAAATTTGATTAATTTTAAAAATGAAGTAGCAACTGATCACAGATGGCGTACAATTAAAAAAAAAAAAGAAAATGGGAAATGTAATTTCTGGTGGAGATCATGAACTTGTTTCAAACCAGAGCTGAGTCTTGAGTACAAGACAGGAGTGTGGAGTTGGGGAAGGAAACTGAGCTTTCGAAATGTTTTAATCGGTTTCCAACCCATATAGCCCTACACTTTTGACCTTGACCCCTTGAAATACCTGTTGTAGGGTAGACATTTTAAGGGGTTCAACAATGTATTCCAAAAAGAATTGGGATCAAGCCTCAACTCTTCAATAATTCTTTCAAGTCTTTGTCCTTAATTTCTCTTGATCTTGAAATTGTTAAAGCACTTATATAATTAAATTTGTCTTGAATGCTTCTGTCAGTGAGCTCATTTTGGTGTAAAACTCAATATTATTATCGATAATATTTACTGTGTGTAACTTTTTTTTTGTCGCCTAATTGCTGATTATAGTCAGTCAATAAATAGCTCTAAAAAAATATTGCTTTTTGTATCTTTATTTTTTTTAGTTGGATGTATTGAACTCCTGAAAGTATTAGTATTAGTGCATTAATTATCTTAAAACATTCCAGAAATATTTTTTCCCCACTTAATTATGGTCACCTCCAAAATTGTGTGGAGCCATCAATACAACCACTACATCTTTTTATGAAAGGAAGTAGACCGAACCAAAAAATATCAACTGTATGGAATCCTCAATACAACCACATCATCATTCTATGAATGTATAAATCTTTACATGAATGATCAAATATTATTCATGAGACCATGGTGGCTTCACAGAAAAAAATGTATCCTGCTTTTTGTCACAATGTGTACACCCCAACAGATCAAAAGTTCATTATTCAAAAGTTTGTTAACTTTTTAGTTAAAAAGAAAGAAAGAGATACTATGCAGTTTCAAATATACAACACAACATGATTTTAAAAAATTTATTCAGATTTTTATATGTAACAGTAACATTCAAATATACTCTGTTATAACATTTAAAGCAATCTTATTAAAAATTATTTAAAGCATATGGAAAGCATATAACATGGATAATCAAAAAGAAGAATTTTTTTTTTTAAATTGTAGCCTTTGCTAAGTGATTAAGAAGCAAATGCTTTCAGGGTGAAATAAGATAATATTCACCCTGGCTTATTCTATTGTAAACAAAATGATACATTTTCAGTTAAAGTTTCCTTTAATCAGAAATTAAACTGATTGTGCTGAATTTTCAGCCATCTTCAACATTTGAATTTTGTCTAATCAAGTATGAGCAGTGTATGGTACAAAAAAAAATGTTCTGAAACTATTCCAGGATTTGTTTACAATTATTTCCAAAATAATTCAAAATTTCATATTTGAATAAGCGATAAATTCCCCACCATTTTATTCTGAAAGAATGTAAGAGAAGACAATATTGTATCATTTCATATTACATTATACAGCAAACAGTGGATATTGAATAAGGTTATATTAAGTTTAGTGCTTCTAATGAACCAAGCCTTTGCCAAATTACAGATATTATGATTCAAAGTGCTACAATAACATCTTTTAATTTTTGTATAAGTACAAGTTAAAATGCAAAAGTTGTGTATAGCATATAAAAGTAATGTAACTGTGGGCTATTATTAAATTTATTCCAATTAAAAATATTTTATAAATCCTTTAGCCATTTTCAAATTGCTCAAATTCAGAAAATCAGGTAAGAGTTAAAAAAGTTACATAATTGTAGAATTTTGGTGGCAAAGTATTGTGTACATAATATGAAAAATTTGGTACTGGCTGTGCATTAAGTATAGCAAGCATATTCTTTGGTAAAATCAAAACAAACTTATTATTTTTTAAAATTTTTATCCCAATCTCATCTTTTATTTATACCAGGAGTAAAAAAATATTAAAATCCTAATTTTTAATCAAGTTTCATTCTTAGAAATTACACATTTTGATCTTTGAAATCATGTTTTCTCTGCTTGTGTTTTGACACGGATACTGGTAAATTTTTACAAGAATTAACTGGTAAATACCTGAATTCAAATTTCTTTGCGGAGATATTGATCTTCCATGAGTGCCTCCCATGATGGGGAAAGCCCACCAGATATTGTGGGTACAGGGGAAATAAAATACCGGGGGCGGACAAAAATCAGAACTATACCTACTAATACCTTGTAGGATGTGGAGTGATCCACAAAGACTAGGGACCTGACCCAATACACAGGTAGCTACCCTGAGAGCTGCAAGAAGCATCCCCCAGAGGATTGTGCATATGGCTGATGATGTAAAAAAATCCAATGTTACAAAAGCTAAATCACAAACAAATACAAACCGAAATTTTTGGATTTTGACCTATTCCTCGACAAGGACATGATTTATGGCTGGCAACCTAGCAGGAGCACTAGCCTACCTTAGTGAAACTTAGGGGCAGATGGCTCACCAGTCGACCAAGACTGAGATGGATTGATGATTTAGAGAAAGACTTGCACCAGCTGGGGGTTTGCACATGGAGGCGGAAAGCCATGGATCAATGTGAATGGAAGGATATGATGGAGCAAGCCAGGGCCCTACATGGGCTGTAGTGCCACTAATGATGATGATTTCAAATGTGTAAAAGTTGATGCTGGGAACCAAATCTCAACTCTGCACATAAACAGGAAGCTCCCAAATGAAAGGCAGAAATGTTATGTTCTGTCAAAATGTTCTCACCATATATTAAAATTTAAATAATTATACAAATGACTTAACTATGAAGTAAAAGATGATATTTCATGTCAGGAGGAATGTATTCCTTTTTTATTTTACAATTATTTAAATTGTTTTGATGCAAATGCAATTATTTGTAAAAACAAATAAAAAAATACATATACTGTATATACTTTTTCAAGCCTGTTCATCATAAGGTGACCCACCTTAGTTTTGGCAACGAAACCTGAAAATTGCACAACACACCCATAACATGAATGACACCATAAGAAGGTATGCTAGAGTAAGCAATATGTAAATTAAAAAACCACCCCCCCCCCCCCCCCCAGGCTTTTTAAAAATAACTGTGTAAGTAAAAGACTTCAAAACTAATAATAAACAACCAAAAACTATGAACTCTGCACCTTTTTGATACTCTCTAAGCATCACAGGCTGACCACTCCACTTATTCCCCTGAATTATTTCCACCAAAAAAGATAAAAAAATTTGGCTTTAGAATAAGCATATACAGTAGTAAAAAATAAAGTAATAGAAGCAGCAGCAAAATTCAGCTCATGTGCAAATGTAAAGACTTGGAACATGTTTATTTTCCCAAAAGAATAAAATGTTATAACAATGCAGGGTCATTTTTTTCTTAAACAATGACAGGTTAGTTAGTTTCATAATTTATTCACTAAACCAGATTCAGGTGCTGAAACCATAATTAAACTTTGAATCTCTTTGAACTTTGGATGATTTTTATCCCCTACCAGTTGTAGAAGGACGGCTTCGCTGGTAGTGACAGTTGCACCGATCTGCCGAAAACGCTAGCAAAAGATCAAATAATAGTTCATTCATTAATTGCAAAAATTATCCATCTATCTGGTTTGGCCTCCACCAAATTAAATTTGAGCTCTATTTATAAATAAAGTATGTTGTTTATAAATTAATGACCATTATTATGTGCCTTATTCATTACAATGCATTAAGATAAGCTTTAAAACAAATACATTCAGTATACAATTAGAATATTAGTGGTTAGACTTTATTTTTAAATTTCCCCTGAATATACAACACGTTATTTTATATAAATTATTAGAAAATACCACTTATAGCTAATAATAGAACACAAATCTGCTAATCTCCAGTCTAAGCTGAATCATATTTAACAATGGGTTATAGATATAACATCATATAACTTTAGCAAGAAATGCCTTGTCCTGTTTCTGATGCTTTTGCAATTAACTTAGTAAATAATTGGTATTAGCATTAAACTCACCAATGCTAGTGAATAACATATTTGGTTTATTCAATACAATAAATGATGATACATGATTTATAGACATTACCTCTAGAGCAAATATTCTGTCCATTTGGCTCCTTGATGATACAGCATCAGCTACAACATACACTTCAATGTTTCGATTTAAAAGGTCTATCACAGTTTGTTGGATGCAAACATGGGTCTGACAAAAGAAAGAACACATTCAAAGGCTGAGACTGATGTTTTCTCTCATATGTTCGTGGTCCCCATAAGTAGTTTTATCCGCTAACAAATAGGCAACACCCAGTTCAATGTGTTCAGTATTGTCACGATAGCAAAATAAAGAAACTATTATGTCTTTAATTCAGTGTGATTGGAAATAAACTAACTCTATTCAGGGTGTAAGAGTAGAATTTATCAACATTATAACTATAAAAACTGTATTAGTTATGATATTTCAGAACTTAATCAGAGCCTAATGTTCGGTGCTTGAGTACATCTTGCTTTTGTGAGTTTGTATGTAATCAGCTTTAAACCCAGTCTTAATCAAACAGTTAATTAAATCATATTCAAATAAAAACATTTTTTTTTAAATGATAGATTGTCAATGTCAGATAAACACTCGTCTCATTACCAAGATGCATCTAAAAACTTGACACATGCTTCTAAAATATGTTCACGACTTTTTCATTTGAATATCAATATCATAAATTTGAATCTGATACTGGTACCCAGCATTATGGGTCACATTACAACTATATTATTAGGAATTTTCCACAATTGCATAAGAGAATAAAAATAAAGTGTCCTGCTTTATTACCTCAATTCCACATAAAATAACATGTCGTACATGACCTCCACGTAGAGTCTTGAGCACTTCCTCAACTTCTGGTATGATCATGCTGAACTTGGTTTTAGGAAAAATATTGACTGCATTCGTTATGTTAACTTCTGGAACCGTATGTCCAAGGCCATCTGGATACTGTTAAAATGAAATTGTTTGCTTTTATTTTGCCACGAATGAAAATAAAATATTTTCCCCATATAATGAGTTATTGAAGAAGAAGAAAATATTGACATTAGAAAGCATACCACAAGTTTGAAAAGTGTCACTATCAATATTTCTTCCTGGTTTACAACTTAGAATTAAATGTTTAGAAAAGTCAAAAGCAGGACAAAATTGATACTTTCCTTTAAAAATAATGTCTTACAAGTAATAAATAAGAAATGTGATGTGGATTTTGATTGTTTGGTTCTTTTCAAAAATATCCTTTAATTTGACAATCACATAACTTCACTATTGCAATTTCTAGCTTGAAACAAGATGCTTTCGAAATTATAAATTCATTGACATGCAATGCATGAAATCACAATAATTTGTACCTTTGAAGCATTGTCGATTGTAATAAAAAAAGAATACCGTAACAGGCCATTTGCCTTGACTTATGTCTAAGTTTTAATAGAATAAACATTTTTTCTTTAATGACAGCCTTTTTCTTACCTGCTCTGTGACAACAATGGGTATTTCTAAGATTCTAGCAGCTTCTGTCTGAAAAGTGAAGAGCTTTTAATTAGACTGACATTACTGACTACACTAAAAGTACATCATCAGGCATAGAAAACAGGGGGAAACAATGGTAGTGAATGACTAATGTCAAGTGTGTTTTTTTAAACTGAACTGATAAGTTTTTAGAGTGAGAACTGATTTGTTTACTTTGTTTCGAGATAATTGCTGTTTGTTCTTATGTAGGTGGCATGCTATTCCTATTTGTGCTGGAAAAGCTTGCACACATGTAGGATACAAGAGTTTTGGGTTCCTAAAGTGGTATAGAAGGCAATTCTGCATTACCTTCCTTGTTTTACACTTTCTTATTCTTTGGGCTTAGCAGGTAATCTAGTGCGCTCCAACACTCCAAAAATAGCAAGTCTGTCTATGAGTTCAAGTTTCAAATGAATATTGCTTGATGGATTTTAGGCACTCTTCAGAGGAGTAGGCCTACTTTAGACTTAGACTTCAGATTATAGAGTCTTATTATCACGATTTTTTTCTGTCCATAAGTATAAGTTAAAAATTAGCTGAGCTTATTAAAGAATTATTCAGACTGTGTAACCTACAAAGTAACAATCTAAAAAATTTGAGATAATACTATAGCTAATACTAATGCAGAGAATTGGTGACACTAGGGATACATTTAGGGTGGTAATCTACCACTTGAGCGTCGGCCAAGAAAAAAGCTGTGATCTTTCCCCTCCACATTGACGTGAATTCATGTTCCGCAACCGTTTTTGTGGAAATGATATTTTTAAAAACTTGATCGTCACCTTGGGGGAGAACTATGCATAATTCCATTTTCACACATTAAATTGTTTAAATTCTTCAATATAAAAAAATGTTAGAGTTTTTCTATTTTTAAAAATTGTCTTGTGTTATTTTTATTAGTACTATTATTGGAATGAATACCTACAGTTACAGCCAATGTCATTAAAAATAATATAAGAATAATTGTTTAAATAGCCCTTTAAAGCGGAACAACTGGATTTTTTTCTTGGCCAAAGCTCAAGTGGTAGATTACCTTTAGGGTTCAGGTTAGGGACACATTTAGGGTTCAGGTTAGGGATATTAATTATAAATGTTCACGGGTCGTGGCAACCAAAAAGGCGGCTCTGTGATACGTCATGGCACCAATTGTCTGCACTTACCAATACTATTAACTCTTTCCGTGCCAAGCCACAGTATACTGTCGATTTGACTGATCGCATTTGTGCCTACCAACAGTATACTGTTGAAATAATATATGTAGTTTATTTCGTTTCCTGCAGATAAGAATACTCATAACATTACAAAAATGGGTATAGCTCTGTAACAAAATGGAATATTTTCAAAATGTAAAATGCATGATAAAAAATGGATATACTTTCTGAGGATTCAAGCAGAATAGGATATCCGCAACACAGATCGTATGACGTATGGTAGTCTGGTAAGTTCAGATTTGGTGCCCAATTTTAAAAATATAAAAAATTTGATCTCACATTTCACAATATTACAAAAAAAATTTAAACTATTGTTGTTATATTGTTTTATATTTTACATATTATTATTCTCTGTCTAATTTCCTTTAATTTGAATTTGATATGAAATACAGCAATCTTGCTAAAAGATTTAAAATCTTTTATTTAAAATTTATTGGTAAATGTTAAGGACGACTGCCACTATTTTATCGAATTTCACGAATGTATCCCAAAATCGATCCCTATGCCGCATGCCTAACATGAACCCTAAATCAATCCCTATCCTATGCCTAACCTGAACCCTAAATATATCCCTCAACTTAACCTAAACTTAAACCCTAATTCACTGCAACTATAAAAGACGCCGTGGCAGCCGTCTTTAACATTAGCCAATTAATTAATACTAGATAGGAGGAGCACCCTAAAAAATTTCCATTGGCCGAATACTGATCTGGAACGAACATGAAAAAACCCATGGCATGGAAAGAGTTAATACACGGCAATAATTTAATGTACCGTCCTCAACCATTTAAATAAAAAAATATTTTTAAAAACGACTTACCAATCTATTCGAAACCTGAGCAATTTCGAAGAAGTATTTAACCGCGTTTCTAAACTTTTCTTGGATGTCGCAAACGAAAAGCACGGTTTCATTTAGTCTGATGTCTCCAAGCTTTCGATTAGCCATTTTTATGTTTTAATAAAACTTAGGTCCCTACACAAATTAATAGAAAGAAAAGTCAATGAATTGTACTTGTGGGTAGACTACTATGCGATGCGTGTAGTAAGATGGTCGGAATCGGTAAACTCTTTCAATGACCTTTCAACTCTAACTAAAGTTCTTTTGTTTACAATAAGAAAAAAAGTGCGTATTTACTACTATTTACGCCATTTACGGTACTCAATAATAACAACTCTCATTAAAATTTGTTTATAGAAAATGAATTTAACTTAAAGATATTGTGTAATTTATTTGAACAGCATTTTTATATTATGATATAAATATAGACACACCCATAAATTGTTTTCAATATATTCAGGAAGAGTTTTTAATGCATATATATATAATATATATAAATATATGTAAGAATTGTTTTCACGGATGAAATTACATAATACACCCAACCCTTTCGATTGGTCTTATCGTGTCATGCATTAATAATAATGCACATTATATATTTATTTTGAAAGAAATGTAAATTAAATCAATGATTCATTAAAAAGTTGTAGAACTAAATATTTAATAAATAAAATTTTAATAAATTAGATATTAATTAAATTCTATTGTTTATTCAAAATAATAAAGATAAAAAAGTGACGGAACTATTTATTTATTGAAATGGTGAGAGGGTCGTACCACTCGTAGCGGCCTTGACTACCTTGGCTTCTTCTGCTATACTTAATACATGTCCATGTGTTACGCACATTTTTAGTGCTTAATGTTCGTACTGTCATAGTAATCATAGCATATTTATAAAAGTTATTAATTGCAGGAACTATTATTTAATAAATCAACAATTTAAGAGCAAAGTGATCAGGTACTTTTGAGTTAACTTAATTGAAATATGTTAACTTTAATTATTAATTTTAACTTGGACTTGGACTTGGTCACCACAGTCACACAGTATCCCAGCTCACTCGACTCTGTCAGTCACTGACACTGTCTTCACTGATACTCAGTGTTGAGTGACAGAGATCTGAGTTTGTCTCAGATCACTTCACTGTCAGTGAGTTCAGTTTCAATGACTGAGTTCCTCACTTCACTTACACTCACTTTGACTCAGTGAACACAGTCTCGCACACTACTCACCTGTCGCCTGTAGACTTTAGTTTTAGGAGTGAGTCAAAGTGTAGACTATTATAATTATTAGTGAATTAGTCTAAGTTATTAGTATTACTAGACAAGTAACAATTCAATATTATTCTAATAATAATATTAATATTTTTTTGTTATAAGTATAAAAAAGTGCATCTTTTATTTGCATCTCAAGCTTAAATTTGATCTTAGTTAGTCTAAGTCAGACTTTGACATTAGTGAAGTGTCACACGTTAGAATTCATTTCAGTCATTGACATTCATTTATATTATTTAAAATTATTTAATAAATTCTTGATAAGCCCTATGAATCATAATGAATGCCATGCCATGCCAATATTACCCACTATCTATAATAATGTAAGCATCATAGGGCCTAACTACTTTTATGTCTCTAATATAAAATTAGTAAAACAGAGTAGGGTTAAACCTGAAAAAAGAAACGTTACAAAACAACAAACGTGTCGGCAGAAAGCCTTCATCAGCGAACGAAACAACAGAAAAAACGGCATAAAAGTAAAAATAAGATATAGCACTTAATTTGGAAGTAGGCCTAGTATCCGTGGGCCTCAAAAGCTATAATTTTTTAGAGTGTCTGAAGTGATGTTCCAGTCAGTGAACAGTGAAAGTGAAGTCAGTGTTTTATTTAGGTTAACACTTTCCACTTTAAATAGTCATTCTGACTCTTAGTCTTAGTTGGAGTGATAAGTGATAGGTGTTAAGACAAATCCACTGACAACTATAAATTAATATTTTAATAGTTATGCCAAGGCCTAACTAAACTTGTATTTGCTTATTTAACACTTAACCCAGTGATGATGATAAGATGATGATCTTAGAAACAACCAGACACTGGAGTCCTTTAAAACCGATCTAAAGACACATCTATTTCGCAAATACCTTCTGGGATGATTGTCTACCTTATTTTCCATGTGTTGCTGTGTTGCTCCGGGTTGAAATGGCTAGAAAGACTTTGATATTGTATGCTTGTAATTAGTTTTTGTAGTGTTGCGTTTGTTTTAAATGTGGTGAATTATAGATATGTTTTTTGTTGACTTTGTACCGCGCTTCGAGCCTTTGGGGATGAAGCGTGTTTTTGAAATGAACTTTATTATTATTATTATTATTATTATGCTTTTGATGATTTCTGTCATAACCTTTTTTTATGTGACCCAGAAAATTATAATAAATCATGAAGTTGAAGCAAGAGATTAATTAAATTATTAAAGCTTAAACCACCTAACTCTACTTAACTTTAAAATAAGCCTCATAATGTTATGAAATTATTCAAATCAGCATACATTTCTTTTTCTATTAATCAACTGACTGATTAAAAGGAAAAGGTAAAACCTCAGTGAAAATTTAAGGTAAATGACTGTTGGCTTGTGATAAATGTATTATATATGTTAAATTATAAGTGAGATTAAACTGCTTTACAGATACTTTATATTTGCAACACTAAATCCTTTCTGATTTTTTTTTTTTTTTTTAAAGTTGAAAATGAGTACACAAGTTGAAAAGCCTACTGGAAGCAGCCATTTACCACAACTGATGTGGAGTCCAGATCCTTACCAGGAAACCCAGATGGATCAGTTGAGAAAAATAATTAACAATAAATACGGAGTCAATTTAAGTAGGTAATTTTTGCATTCTGAAAAAGAAATTTATTGATTTAAATCATCTTATAATGTTTTGTTGGATTAAATCAAAATATCTTATCTTGCAAGCTTTCTTTATAACAATTAAAGCTGGGTTGCTCGCCCCCAAAAGTTTTTGAATGACGAAAAAAATTTAATCATCCAAACAGCTATTTTACCAAGAAACACTGTCTTTTTTATTTCATTGAACCTTTAGGTAACTATAGAGAAATCCATCGGTGGTCATGTGACAATTATCCTGAATTTTGGGAAGAAGTCTGGCTATTTGCAGATGTTATACATTCAGAATCTTATGAAACGGTAAAAACAATATTAATTAATGGAATATGTGAATGAAAATCTGTTTAAGTTGATATTGAAGAAATATTTTGAGGTTGTATTTCTTCGTCCCAGATATTTTGTATATAAATATATACTTAATTGTTCAACATTTACCCTTAAATTAAAAGAAAAAATTTACAATGTATTTATTAAAATAAGATTCTTGATTATTTAAAAAAATATATTTTTCAGATTGTGGACAAAAAAGTTAATATCTCTGGAATTCCAGAGTGGTTTAAAGGAAGCAGACTAAATTATGCTGAAAATCTGCTCCGTTATAATGATGACAGGGTGGCAATATATGCAACAGGTTGGATATTTAATTGAAGAAAAGCCTTTAGTTCATAAGTTTTAGAAATGGGAATATAGATGTTGAATATTTGTGGGAAAGAAGAAATTTAATGGTTGAAATTAGCCCTAAATTATCATTTTGTGTTTCTTATCATTTGTTGCAAAAAAATTGACCTATGATGACCTATTGCTTTTTTTTAAATTTACTTTTAGCAATGTTAACCTTTATATATGTTTTAATAGAAGCAATTTTAATCTTGATTTTTTTTACGTGTTTGTTTCAATTCATCATAGGGGAAGGTCAAAGTGAAGTAAAGAGAAAATCTCATAAGGAACTGAGGCAGTCTATAGCACAATTTGCATCTGCTATGAAGCATTCTGGTGTTCAGAAAGGAGACAGAGTTGTAGGTAGGTTCTTTTAAATTATTAAATTCTATGAAAAACAACAGAGAATGTGTTCATAGAATTATTAAAATTTCGCCTTGCTGTTGAAGCAATCTAATTTCTCATGGAAATTTGTTTAACTTAATAATTTCCACTTAATTGATATCATCATCCAGTTTAAATTCTCTAATTGAATAAGTGTGCCTTTCTTCCTAAGTCTTTTTTTCTATTCACCTGAAAGGTTACATCCCAAATTGCATAGAAGCAGTAGAGGCTATGCTTGCTGCTGCTAGCATAGGAGCTATTTGGAGTTCAACATCTCCAGACTTTGGTGTTGTTGTGAGTAAAGCTGTGGCCAGACTAGAAAATTTTGTCAAGTTTTATTCCATGCATCCAGCTATTTTTAAAAAATGACAACATATTTCAATATGTTTCTGAGCAAAACAAAAACTTACTTTTAAATTTATTCTAAGTGGTGAATTAATATATTTCAGTACAAAATGAAATTTGAGAGAGAAAAAAATAGCCTCAGATTCCCTTTTTATTCCCCTTTTAAACAATGTCATAACAAGGTACTAACAATACTGCACTATCCAATGCATTGTGAACATTATTTGAAATCCATTTTTTTTTCCGATTTGCTTAATTTTTTGTATACCTTATTTTTAAGGGTGTTTTAGAGCGATTCTCACAGATAAAACCTAAACTGATTTTTAGTGTTAATGCTGTACATTACAATGGAAAGGTTCACAACCATATTGACAAGTTGGAGCAAGTAGTTCAAGGTATTTTTGGTCTTATAGCATCTACAATTTATTGCATTTTGTCATAGGCATTAACATAATTCATGTATATTTTTAGCCAAATCATTTCCTGATGGTGGCTTTCAATAAATCTCTTAATTGTGGAACTTAATGAGTCAGCTGTCCAAGCATAATAGTAAATGTGTTTCATAATTGTAAGAGTAAATATGCTTCATTTCCTGTAGGTTTACCAGAACTAGAGAAAGTTATTGTGATACCCTTTGTACCTGACCATAAAACAGATCTTTCAACAATCACCCATGGGTAAGTGTGCTAATTTTAATGAGATACATCACATTCGTGATAGAATCTTATTTAATATTATTTGGAAGATGTTCAGAAATACCTGGAATAGCTCATTTTCATTGCAATTTCATTAATGCATTTTATAATCAGTAAACAACTTCTTAATATTTGAGATTTTAAAAAAAGGAGATTGTAAATAATTTAACAATCTCCATCAGGCAGTTAAAAGCATAGCTATAAATGTCTGAAAACAAGTTTGTCATACATATGTTACACATTAAATTGTCAGTGAGATTAAACTACTCAAAAGACACTTTATTGTTCTACAGCATAACTTTAGATGATTTCCTGAGAAGTGGTATTGAGGATGGCCAAGTTCCAGATTTGACATTTGAACAAGTACCTTTCAATTATCCTCTTGTTATTATGTACTCATCAGGAACTACAGGTGTGCCCAAATGTATGGTACATTCTGTGGGGGTAAGATCTTTTTTTTTTTTTTTATTTCTGAAGTAAAATTATACAAAGCTTTATAAAATTTTATAATTAAAAAAAATACTTTTTTTAAAAACTCCTTTATGTATTCAAGCTATTCATTTTATTATACAGGTGTGCCCAAATGTATGGTACATTCTGTGGGGGTAAGATCTTTTTTTTTTTTTTTTATTTCTGAAGTAAAAATATACAAAGCTTTATAAAACTTTATAATTAAAAAAAATACTTTTTTTAAAAACTCCTTTATGTATTCAAGCTATTCATTTTATTAATAGCCTAACATAAATGTTTTTAGTAAATTAAAATGAATTAAAAAACTTTACATACCAACCCATCAATCTTGTAGATAAGCTGTATTTTATTGTATGTCATCAGACATGTGACACATTTGCATTTTATTTTGATAAAACTATAGGGTACACTTATGAAGCATCTGTCGGAACACATCTTTCATGGCAACATGGACAGAAGTGATATTTTGCTATACTATACAACAGTAAGATTCTTAAATTTGCCTAAATTATTAATTCTTTTTTTTTTTTATTTATAAAGCAAAATTTGGTTTCATTTTAAATTATTGATGTGCAACTATCCATGTCATTAAGAAAATGTAGGTGACAGGCTGAACCTTAATGAGTAAAATTAAACTTTGAGTCATTCTCAACAATGTCTACAGGCTGGTTGGATGATGTGGAACTGGATGGTGACAGCACTAGCATTGGGTTCTGCTATTGTTTTGTATGATGGGTCACCGCTTGTGCCACATGCCAATGTGCTGTGGGACCTTGTGGATGAAGTGGGGTATGTTTTTTTATGCTCAGCTTAAGACTAGACTCTACTTCAATTTAAAATTATTTTGTAGTATTCTGGTCGAAAGTGAATAAATTACCATTTCAATTTCTAAATAGTTGCCTAAAGTTTAGTCTGATTACACTGAACCCTCCTGCCAGCCCCAAATGGAGTTAAAGATTAAATAAACAGTTTTACATTTGTTTCATTCAGTTATATATATAATAAAAACTTCATTAACATTCTTAACACATCAATTGAAATTTGTTCTGATGAGGTGCTCTTATGTCCAGGGTAACCATTCTAGGGACTGGTGCAAAGTGGCTTGCAGTGCTGGAAGACAAAGGCGTACATCCCAGTAAGTGCTGGTTTTCATTCCATCTTTTCCAGTTTTGTTTTGTTTTTGTCTTACCCTCTTTCCTAATATCTAGCTTGCTATTTGCAGAAGGCACGCACAGTCTGAGGTCTTTAAAAGCTATTCTGTCAACCGGATCTCCACTCAAGCCCCAGAGTTTTGACTATGTTTACAGGGATATTAAGTCTGATGTCTTACTAGGATCAATTTCAGGTAATTATTTCTTAGACATATGTGGGTTTAAATAGTTTCAGTTATGATCATTGGCGCTCTATAATTTTGGTATGTATTATTTTATGTATATAATTTTTTTTTATTTAAAGAACGGTAAATAAATTCAAAGAAAACAAAATATCCAGGAATTATGAATCAAGATTTCAAATGATATTTTTTTCTGTAAAGAATCGGTGACTTGATTATTGAATCAACATAAACATGCAAATATTAGATGTTTAGGTTTTATTCAAAAATCCTCTTACACTTACAGCTTTTGACTTTATTCTTTCAAACTGATACTTTCAATAGGTGGCACAGATATCATTGCCTGTTTTATGGGTCAAAATTGGACTGTTCCTGTACACAGAGGGGAGATACAATGTATGCTACTAGGATGTAACATGCAGAGCTGGGATGAAACAGGTAGTTGATGAGAGATTCAGTTGTTGTGGTCTCACAAAGAACACTAGTATGTCATGAAATGATTTGAAAGATTGGTTGAGAGTAATAAAATGATTTATACATTATTTTATTAATTTTACAAAAAAAACTACTCAATTTTTTAATGATGTAGGAAATGTTTCTCCTCTGCACCTAAATTTTTTAAATGCCTTACATTGTACACTATTTAAAAAATGTAAAATATACCGGGTAGTCTAGTTTTAAGCTTTAAATGAGACTTGATGATTTAATCCTGTTTTCTGGATAAAGGGAGATACCAGTGTACTAAAGTCTATGAATTAAAGTTTGACTTGATGGTTTTTTATTTTATTCTGATGGGTCCAGGTAAACCTGTTTATGATGAAAGTGGGGAACTGGTATGCTTGACACCATTTCCATCTATGCCCGTTTATTTTTGGAATGACAAAGATGGCTCAAAATACAAGAAAGCTTATTTCAGCAAATACAGTGGTAAGTCAGATGAATAGCTCACAAAGTTAAGAGTCGTTGCTACTTCAGCAAATACATTGGGGGGTTAGATCACTTATACACAGTCAAAAGTAGTTGTTTCTTCAGCAAACACAATGGTGAGTTAGTTCATTTATACACAAAGTTAATAGTAGTTTCAGAGGGTAGTATTAATAGTTTTTATCTCTAGTTAATAGTTAAAACTTAAAAAGCTGGGTCAAATTCTGCAGTGACAGCTGCATCTGTTGCTGTGTTTGTCCTCATTATTTTTAGTTGAATATACACAGTATAGGCAACAAGACTTAATCAATACACATGATCTGTTTGCCTAGGAAGCTTGACAGAAAGGTATTGATTCCAAGGGCCTTGTAGATCTCGGTTGTTTTATGCAACATACTTTATCATAAGCTATAGCTGTTATACTGGACAAGTTAATAACTTTGTTTAGTTTAATTTTATATTAAATAAAATATAAAATGAACCTTTCACATATATAAAGCAAATAATATTTAAAATTTATTTAAGAAGATTTATGCTATGCTATATGAATGTATATTTTAATTTTTAGCATTAATTATGCTGACTCGGGTGGTATACATTCAATGAAATTACATAATAAAAAGCTGACAAAGTAATCCATATTCAGTATATCATATTCATGGACAGGGATTGGTGTTTTGACTATATATTTAATGCTTGAAACTGTGCACTATATGCTCTGTAGTGAAATTCCTCTGATAAGAAAGAATGTCTGGTCTGTATAAGCCAGCATTTTTTATTTGATTGAACAGATGTGTGGGCTCATGGTGATTATTGTGCTATCAACTCTGTCACTGGAGGCATCCTTATGTTAGGAAGGAGGTCAGTTTAAATTGTCAGATATACATGAATTGAATTACTTTGGAAAAAACTGAAGTGCTATTTATAGTTTAATAGTGAGCTGTAAACAGTATTCTTTTAATAAACATTACTTCTTTACTTGTCTTTTTTTTCCCCGTCAATATTTTTTTCTCCTTCAAATTATTATCTCCTTCAAATTATTATATTTTTGTCACCAAGTTTTTTATTTTTAAAAAAAGGTAGACTAACCATTTTCAGTTGTTTCATTGAAAAAGACAGTTGATAAATTTCCTTACTGAGTGAAGCTCTTCCCATGCTGCTGATAAAACATTTTATGATATTTCCAGAATCCAACATTATCCTAGTTTTCAATCTTATTTACGGCAGCAAAGTTTAAATTTTGTTGTTAGTATGCATCTTTTTAGTTTTATAGTAAAATAGCAATGATATTTCTCATAAGTTTTCTTGACATTAACATTTCAACAGTGATGGGACCCTCAATCCTAATGGTGTGCGATTTGGGAGTGCTGAGATATATCATATTGGTGAGTTCCGCTTGACAGCTAAAAGTTAGTTTTGTTATAACATGCAAAGCTGGAGTTTTAGTAAAATAAATTTGGATCCTGTGCTAATGTTGTTTTTGAAATGTAATTATTTTTTGTTTGCTTAAGCATTCACCCTTGTGTTGTATATGTAACACAACAAGTGGGCCTGTCCTCATCTCCATATATATTTATTTGTACTGGTAGTTGAGAATTTCAAAGAGATACAAGACAGCGTTTGCATAAGTCAGCGCAGCAAAGATGGAACAGATGAGAGGGTCATTCTGTTTCTGAAGATGGCCCCAGGGAGTGAGTTTGGCTCAACTGTTGTGGACAGTTTGAAACACCACATCAGGATATACCTGTCAGCCAGGCATGTCCCTGCAGTCATTCTCCCCATCTCTGATATTCCGGTAAGTATTCTTTGAAAGAATTGATTTGTTTCACACATCAAAGAAATTAATCAATTACAGAGTATTGCCAAATCAGTTTTTTCACCTGGAGAGTCGCAGTGCTTTATTAGTTAGACACCTTCTTAGCCCTATCTAGTAATGTATTTTGTTTGAGACATAAACCTGCCACAAATCATTGTAGCTTATAGTGTGGAAGCAAGGGCTATAATCTGTTTTCAGCTATAAACTCAACTAGTCTTGGGGGGGAAAAAAAATACAGTAACTTATTTTAGTGAACGGTCATCCTAGAATAACCAAGTGCTATTGCTTTATGGATGGGCTATGTTAAGTAGGGCGACCGCTCAAACTTAAATCGAAACAAGCTTCCATTGAATGATACTGACAAGATATGTGATAAAAATATCTTTAACTCTTCCACTCCACAGTACACAATTAGTGGGAAGAAGGTTGAGGTGGCAATCAAACAAGCCATATCAGGTCAGAATGTCTTGCAGAGAGGAGCTCTGGCTAATCCTGACAGCATAGATCTCTACTACAACATTCCTGAGTTACAAGAATATTAAACTGACATACCAATGGGTGGATTCTATCATTGCAAGAATTATTATCTTTGATCAACAAATTGCACAGATTTTCAAAATCATTCTGATTCAATAGAACGTCTGCTCTACTTTCATAATTTTAATCATATTAACTGACATTTAATAACATTAACCAACCCAGCGAGTTTTAAACTAAACAAAACTGATGAGTTGCCATGTTGAATGATGAATTTTTTAAATTTTGTCCTGTGCCATAATATCTAATATTGAGGGATCATGTTTTTTAGATGACAGTTTTTCTTCCTTGTTGCAATAAAAATGTGTTTAAATCTTGCACACAACTCGTAAGGAAGTAGAGAAGGAGATGCAACTAACTCATTTAAATATATTAGTCACTCCTTTGAAAAGAAATGAGCATTATATCATTTTTGATCAGCAAGAAATAAAAGACAGTTCATTAAGTAAATAAACCAGATGTAAACAAATTAATTGTTCATGACAGTGGTTCATTTTTTGTAGGTACTAATTAGCTAATATAACTGATACATTAAATTTTACAATTTCAAGCCATGGGAATCTTTAAAACAAATCATTAATACAAGTACAAGTTACAAAGAAATTTTTTTTTTTTTCTGATAGTTTTATATTTTTTTAACTTAACATAATTGGCTGGTTGTATATATATATATTATATATATATATATATATATGCTTATATAAACTACATTTATTATAGTTGTCAGCTGTAACATTTTTTTACAAATTTAGAAATGATTTGCAAAAGGAGAGATATTTTGTGTTTCAGCTTCTTTCATTTTCAGATCTGAAAACTTTGATTTTCATATTTTGAAGTTTCATATGAGTTGATATTTATCCTTACTCAATTGCAATTGCCATATAGAAAACATTAATCTAAGTTAATCAATCTTGTCAGTTTGTCAAATGAAGCACTTAAATGTCTTCTAAGCCTTACTTTGTGCTTGATGTCCGGTGTGTTCATGTCACTGAGGTGAAGTAGATGTGTTTTACAATTAGTTTTTAGACAACACCATTCCATTACCATTGAGAATCTCACAACCAGAACACTGAATACTCCCTACCATGACCTCAGCATAATGAAGATTGATGACTCAAAATCAGTCATTAAGATTTTGGCTCCACTATTACAATATACTCATTGTTAAATAATGTTACTAATGACCTCATTACGACATGAACAAGTTTGCATGGTTTAATATTGTCTTAAACAAGTTATGACTTGTATTTGTATTGTACAGATCATTGCACCATTGACAGTTGTACAACCAATGATTTCAGAAATATCCACTTGTTTAATGGAAATTATAAATTAGTTAAGACCAGGGGTGGGAAAATTTTTTGTGCAGAGGGCCACATTGACGAATATAAATCTATTGGGGGACCGCATGTATATTATGTCTAATTTTTACAAGTCGATAAACATTTCTGTATATTAAAATTGGTTAATTCGCATTTTAGCATTACTGACGAAAGTCAAGGACTGTTTAAGAACATAGAAAATTAGAAAGACATTTGATCAAAAATGTTAAAACGATCATAACGGTACATGAAATTCTGTAAAATTCAACAAAATAACTCAAAAACAAAGTAATTTTTGTGTTTATAAATGTTTTCATGGGCTGCATAAAATCATTTGCTGGGCCACATGTGGCCCGCTGGCAGTAGTTTGCCCACCACTGGTTAAGACCATTCAAGTCCTTACATATAATTATGTCATTGTAGAAAACTGTTTGAACATATTAAATTAAATATCCTACAGTTATTTTTAACCATTGTGTTTCATGGTCAATTTGAGTTAGAAACAAGCATTAAGACTTCAACAAAAAATTTACAAGATTATTTTATGACTATCAGCGTGCACATTTACCTTGCAACTATTACCTTAAAATGGTATTGCATCAGTGATTAAATTGAGACACCATCACGTTCATAGGTTTTGTCATTTACCTTGTCCCCAAGAAAAGCTGTCTTTGCTTGGCAGAGTGAGTCCATCTATCAGTATCTGAGGATGGCACCAGATGAATTCAGTCAGCTATTACTTGGTTGAGAGCCAGACAAAATTATCACTGCTCCGGAGCTAGGCCATATTATCATTGCTCCAGAGCCAGACAATATTATCATTGGTCCGGAGCCAGACCATATTATCATTGGTCCGGAGCCAGACCATATTATCACTGCTCCTGAGCCAGACAATACTATCATTGATTCTGAGCCATATAATACTATCATTGATTCTGAACCAGACAATATTATCATTGCTCCAGAGCCAGACAATATTATCATTGCTCCAGAGCCAGATAATATTATCATTGCTCCAGAGCCAGACCATATTGTCACTACTCCTGAGCCAGAAATTACTATCATTGATTCTGAGCCAGACAATATTATCATTGCTCTGGAGCCAGACAATATTATCATTGCTCCAGAGCCAAACAATATTATCATTGAATCTGAGCCAGACAATATTATCATTGCTCCACAGGGCAGACATGGATATTAATTACTTTTCCTGCCAGCTTCTTTTTTTTTTTGCATGTAAAGAAAACAATGATAAAATAAAATTCAAAAAGCAGTTTTTCATTGTTCAACAGCAATCCAGTTACATATTAACTGCTGTATTCATACACTGTTATGCATAGAATATTAATCACAAAGTGTGTTATAAAAGAAAGATTGCTCAATGAAAGCTCACTAAAGCTTTTTTTTTTTCATTGTTTGATATAGATTATAAAAGTGTACCAGTATTCATAATTTGTCTGTCTTTCTATTTCTATGCTTCAATTGACCACAATGACAGCAGGTAAAACAATCACTATGTGGTCTATCTTGATACTGTAGACTTGAAAACATTATCAAACAAATTATAATTTTCATCTTAGGATTGAAATGATGAGCTCTTGTGTTCAGGAGCTAGAATTTTTCAGATTTCATTTTTGGCTTTTTGCCATTCAGTTAGATCAAACTGACTTGCACTTTGACCTTTACCATTTTATTTTATTTAATATAAAAAATTATTTTATATTGTTTAAATTATGAAGGAATGTCCAACTAAAAGTATCTGTTAACTGTTGAAACTCTTTTATCTGCACATTTGTGTTAAAATTTTTTAAATTTAATATAAAGAATTATTTAATTCTTTAATCATGAAGGAATGTCCTACTAACGCACATATTCTGGTGAGGGTCTGAGATTACTCTCTTATGACCCCGGCTAGTAAATTGGCTATCAACTCCATCTGTTGAGCTGAGCCATACAACATTTCCCTCACAAAGGATCCTCCAACCGCCCTGGCTTCCCCCGGGAGATCTAGTGAGGGACATTCAGTCAACAGATGCTCTAAGGTCTCTGGGGCCAGGCTGCAGTGCCGGCAGGTAGGATCTCTGTTGTTATCCAGCCTCCAGAAATATGTGCGCAAGGGGCAGTGCTCGGTGCGCATCTGCGTCACTAAACTCTGCGATCTGCGACCTAACCCCCACCATGGGTCTTGTTTGCTAGGAGTGGGCAAATTCGAATAGACGCCTCTGGCGGTCGTGTTGTCAGCCCATTGCCTGTACCACTTCTGCCTGAAGTGGTCCGCCAACCAGTTTTTGACTCCCAAGAAAGTCATTGGTACTTCTGGCTGAGGCTGGGCAGCCCCGGTTTTCGCCAGAGTGTCCGCTCTCTCATTGCCACTGATG